TAGAGGGTGTGGCCGGCCTTGGCTACTCTCTTGGCACCTCATACACTTGTGCACATCCTTTGAAAGCTGAGCAACACACTCCACTCACTTGTTCACTTGATTTCATTATCTTAAGTGAGATTAGAGAGCCTCTAGTGCATTGCATTGAGTTGCATCATCTTGTGGCACTAGTTGGGTGATTTGGGCTGGTTGTGAGCTTGTTACTCTTGATGTTTGCCGACACCTATATGGCCTAATGATGGGAGGATCGTTGAGCGGAGTTGGTGATTGTCACCGACCTCGATCGGTTACTTGTGAGGGGTCTTGTGCCTTCCCCGACGGAGCGTCAAATGCAACTCTAGTAAATTGCTCGTGTCATTGAGCTACATCACTTGTGGGTAGGTTCTTGCGGTGTCCAATTATGTGGACGAGGTTTGTGCAACACATCTTAGCCGCTGAACCACCGAGTGTTGGTCAACACGACGGGGACTAGCGTGCCGGTAAGCACGTGAACCTCGGGAGAAAAATCTTGTGTCTCTTGTGTGATTTAAATTTTTCCAGTGATTGGATTGTCTTCATCTTGTAATTTGTTCATTTCTCGATGCAGCGGTATAATCATCATACTCACTCTTTTACATTCCTTGCAAATTAGTTGTCAAACTCTTTAGTATAATTAGTTTTGAGAGTGTCTTGCTTGCTAGCTTAGTATCACCTAGAGGAGCTCTTTAGTGTAAACTTGTTGAGAGCTCTTAGTGAGTAGTGGCATAGCCATTATTTATGTCTAGTGATCATAGCAACTAGAATTGTTGAATAGGTGGCTTATAACCCTCGTAGAGCTACAGCAAAATTGCATTTCGCTATTTAGTATACTAACCTCTTGCTATAGTGTATTTGTAGAAATTTTTGTAGGCTATTCATCCCCCTCTAACCATTTAGGACCTTTCACAGTGCCTCTGTGTGCCCTCGCTCCCTGCCCATCCAAGTATGTGGCTATGCTTAGCTCCTATCTTTTTAATAACTAGGTAGCGTGCCCGTGCGTTGCTACAGAATAGCTAACATTTTATATTAAAAACACACGGATCGCACGATAAAATAACAATACTATAAAAATTAAATATCAATGTTAAAGTGACATTTAATCTAAAAACAAAGTGTGTGAAATTAACACAAGTCACGGAGAGCGCGGCGTCGCAGGCTCATAAACTCTACTTATAGATCTTTTTCGTGATGTGGCTAAGATAATGTTTTATATTGGTCGGAAGAAATCTCTGATATCCATTTCTTTTGTGCACCAATAATTACCAATGTTGAATATCCGGACTCGGATACGGATAGATCTAAACCCTCTAAACGGATTCGGTCTCGGATACGGTCGAAAAATATTCGTACCGTTTTCACCCCTACTCATAACAATGGCTAAATAAATAGATTACAAATTACATCCACCAAGTTTCATATGCAATAGACAAATTATATCAGCAAGGTCTATAGCTCCAACAAGTTAGAAAATAATAATAAAATATCCAGAATTGAAAATTAAATTGTCTTAAGAACTAAAACAAACTAAAGCAGTTTTGCTGAGCCGCTAGTGGTCATGCTTATCTGAAATTAAACTATATGCTGATCAACAGTATTGAACGAAAATGGTTTATTTAAATGGCCATAGGACACACCGTATGTTTGAATAAACTGTATGAGTTTGATAGCTAACAAATATGCATTAAGGTAGTGTGCCCGTGCGTTGCTATGGGACAGCTAAACTTTTATACTAAAAATACATGGATCGCACGATAAGATAACAATACTATAAAATTAAATACCGACATTAAAGTGATATTTAATCTAAAAGGCAAAGTTCGTGAAATTAACACAGTCACGAAGCGCGGCGTCGCAAGCTCACAAACTCTACTGTATAGACTTTTCCGTGATGCGACTAAGATAATGTTTTATATCGGCAGAAAGAAATCTCCGATATCTATTTCTTTCGTACGTCAATAAATCCACGAATAAGTTCTGCCGTATCTTCATACCATCCTGTACACAAGTTCGAGTATATATATAAATATTAATTCCTGTCACATAGGTAATACTGCGTGTCTTGAAAAATCTCTTATAATACCTTAAGTATGTTATACTCACCGTATAAATATGTGTGGCTTTAGGACTATTTTACGTGGATATATACTGTAGAATAAGGTATCCACTTGAGTGTCTATGGCAAGATTTACCATCAACAATATATAGAAATGGTTAAATCATATGTATTATTATTGCAAGCGACGGATAAAAGTAAATTAGAGCTTATCATAATTGTACTATCATAATTGCACATTTGATTCTTCCTGATTTTTTAAGATGATGATGTCCAAGGTAAACTTCAAAATATATCATTTTCATGCATTATGTCTAGGTACAAGCTAATTCACTATAAAATAATAATTTGAATTTTCTCTCTTAGTTCAAAATTATAGGATATTTTGGTTTTTCTAGATATATTGTTTTAATTATGTATATCTAAGCATATAAAAAAAATTATGTATCTAGAAAAGTCAAAGCGTCATATAAGTTGGAATTGAGAAAGTAATTTTTCGTAGATTCATTGGTCCACTCTAAATTAGTTAGAAATACTTTCACAAGGAGAAATTATCTGCTCAGAAACCACAAATTCAAGTTTTACCCCCTTATAACACAAAGGTTTTTAAATTTGATTCACAAAGTCAATCGTCAACTCTTCATTGAGGCGCGATGGCCGTCAGCTTTACTATCTTTCAAGCACCATCCAGTTCTAGCCAACCTCTAAATGTCTAAAGTTTTCAACACCATATAAGCATCATTCCATGCTCGATTTCACACAAGCTCTGCTTCTAAACCATCCTCTCCAAACTATACAACCTCCCTGTTGCATAATCCCAGGACCTCACTAATCCGTGCAAGTAGTTTGGGCACAAAGAAACCATCTGCTCATTATCCAGCCCTGGGAATAGCATGTAATTCTGAAATCATGACACATATCAGATTCTTGGGACATGTCTACATGAGAACCAAGGCATGAAGGAATGTGATTGATAAAGAATGGAGTGAGAATGTATGTGGTTGGATAAAAAATTGTTCTGTAGGTAGAAGTACAAGATTGAGAAGCAAATTGTCAAGCTTGTTTGGCTAATCTATAAGCATCTTGTTTAAATATTCGTCAATAAATCGTGGAAAGATAATGTCCAATTAATCAAAATGTACAAGTCAGAGCATGGGCGAGGGAGGGTGGAGGCCGGTGCGAGTGAGGGCGAGCTAAGCTGGCGAGGGTGGGCGCTATGGCGAGGCCACAAGATTTATAGCAGAGGATTGATAGCAGTCTCTCTTTCCTTTTGTCTTAATTTTTTTACCTTCTGTGTTAATTCTCTTTCCTTTTGCTCGTTGCCATGTATGCTGGTGCATGTAAACATGCAATGTGTATATGGATAGCACAATAATTTTCTACTTCCTATTTTGCAAACATGCAATATTCAATCAAGGAGACAAATCGCGGGCTTTCCTTTTCTCGCTCGCTCCTTTCCTTTTCTCGCTCGCCCATTGGACAGCGTGGGAGGTGGGATCGATCGCATGGGGTGGCAGACGGACGAACCAAGACAATTGTCGCACCAAAACGATATCCACACTTTATTCTTTTTAGTTGTAGGAGATAACAATGGTCTGTTTCTTGCAGCCTCATTTGCCATAGGCCACTCATATGAGCTTGCATATTGCACTCTGATCAAGAGATAAGGTTAGTTTACTAATGTAAAGGTCAATTTATAGTGTTTTTTCCACCTTTGATAACTTTATTCTCTGCTGCTCACATTTCCAATTTCGCAACTAATATATGTGCACGTTTTCCACAAACTGATTTGCACGCGGTCCTTTCTGTGCTTAATATCTAAATATTTCACCTTTGGATTTATTATTCCATTACAGATGGAGATTTGCTTGAACCACCAATTGGATAAGCAACCTACACTACTGTCGACAAACTGCAAGACTACCATTCTCGTGCATGGTCAAACCACACCAATCAATGCTTAGTCTATTAGCTTCTAGGTTAGCTAATGTTTGCTCCGCTTACATTATTCAGGCCTGTCATATTAGTTGCCACTATGACTGGAGCCACAATGTCGTACTATGCATAGGTGTTGGTCAGTTATGAATCCATGTGCACCTGCTTTGAGCTTTCGACGAGCAGCATCGCATAATGAGTTTAGGGCTGCTTATGTTTATCATGTGAAATTGCTTTTGCCGCATGTCTAATGTTCTTGGATTGATTTGCTTTGATGCCAATTATTTCCATCCCCTTAATGGGATCGTTATATTTGAAAATCACATGAATTGAGTGTATCACATATGTCCCGACATTTGTAGTTGTTCTTTACACAGAACTTCTTTTTTTGTTCTCCAATACGTTAAGATGAACTTCTTTTCTGTTCTCAAATACGCTAACATGACGTTCTTCAACTACAAATGGTACATAGCTATATTTTTTCCTTGGACATACAACAAAGCATTTCTGTCACACGCTGCCAAGTGTGCCTGGCCTACGGGCGCGGCCTCCCTAGTAGGCTCATAGCTAGCGTAACAATGCGTTCTTTTGCGTGCACTGTTGTTTTTTTTTACGACAAGCTGGGACAAGTCACAAGTGGATTTAGGCTGTTTCGCTTTCGCGCAACGAAACTTCAGACGCGTCATCGGTCGCACCGAATCTCCACCGCGGCCCACCAGCAGCGACACAACGCCGCCGAAAAGGACCATCCACCAGCAGCCAAGCGAAGCCTTCGATGCGAACCAAACCCGTCGGGTCCGACCCGTCGCCACGGTCTACTACTACAAACGCCAAGGCCAAAAGGCACGGCAACCGCACCACCACCGCACCAGCAGCGCCAGGCCGCCAAGCGCCAGCACCACCGCGCCCAAGCAGGCAAGCGCACCACCACCACCACCACCCCACCGCAGCGAGCCGAGGGAGGGCGCGCTCCGGCCGGACGTGACGGGCGGAGATGAGGGGCGGATCCAGACCGGCCCCGGTCGCCCTGTTTCTCCTCGCTGCCTCCGGGATCTGCGCCCAGTTCACCGCAGGTTCGCGCTCTCGATCTGCTTGTTGGCCGTGGGATTCGGGGCCGTTGCGGGAGAGGGTTACAGGCAGCGAGATCTAGTTCAAGGAGGGTGGGGGGGCGGGGATTGGGGAATCGCTACCGCGATTATTTGCCTTGAATATATTCGGATTCCCTGCTGTGTTTGCGAGTCTAATTGGATTGTAGACGGCACTTTCGTTCACAATTATTGGGTGGTTAGGGAGGGATGAATTTGCCGTCTCCGGTGGGAGTTTGTCATATTATTTGTCATGTTCGCTGGTTGGTTACAGCGTGGGCTTATCAGCCCGCGTTTTCCTTTCACAACTAACTAGCACCAATCGGGCTTATCGCCCAGAAACCAACCAGGAGGAGGTCGATGATTATTATGTATGACGAGCACCTGTACCCGCTAATATCTTTATTTACAAATTTATTCGAATCATTGTACTGTTTTTGCTGCAAGAATGACATCTCTTCATTGGAAAATTGAAATTCTCTGGGGATTCAAAATGTAGAAGGAATAATACTTGTAGAAGGAATAATACTTTACCCTAAAACCTCCCCCTCCTTAGATTCAAGTTTGTCTTCGCTGCTGCATGTTTCTGACCCTGAGCAAAATTGCAGCGCTTCTGTACATTACTGACTAAAGCTATTGCCTGTAGTTCAGACAGTTTTGTGGCATGGTAGCCTAGTAGGAGTAGAAAATGTATTATATCTGTTAAAAGGCTAACTAAGTCCATGCTTTATAGGATTGATTGAAAGATCACCCAATCACCATTTGTACTATAGCGTGCAGTAAGGAACTGGTCATTCTTTTGCCTTAGGATTAGGAGCTACATCATCGGCTACGTGTTACCTTTATTTGAACATTGCTTTAGGCCCTGTTCTTTTATTTCGGAACGGGCTGTTCTGGGGGTCGTTCCGGATGGAACAGAGCAGTCTATTGAAAACTGGAGTATTGTGGCCAGGATTGAAACCTGGTCCGGCCAGCGGCGCGCCGAACGAGCCCTTAGGCATATGCCATTGTCATATTTCATCCATGATAGATCTCACACATGTCAACTACTCAGCTTAGAGGTATTCTAATCTAGAGTGGTAAAGCCACATGGTTGGTCCTTCTGTGAGATAAAGTTATGAAAGTTAAATATAGAGATCACAAAAAAAATCATTTTGTCCTAGAAAAAAGGAGGTGAAAATGCAAGTGGCGTATCTTAAATATTTTTGTTTTTGGATTGGCATCTTAACAACACAAACCTCCGATCATGTTACTTCCTAGAACCTTGAATCTGAAAAAAAGAACAAAGACAACACAGCTCTTGCTATAATTTCGGTTCTTCTAACTTCAAAGTGATGAGATTTGGGTTTGCTCGTTACGGAAAAAAGAACTTGATGGGGGTCTCTGGGAGTTTTGCAATCCTATCTACTGCCCCCTGATTTTTGTTCCTTCAGCCAATTGAAATACCAAAGTCCTTCTTTGGTTAGATTAAATTTCAGAAGGTTAAGATAAAATTAACTAGGGTTAACTGGCCAGGGCTGTGGTTATTTATACTACAAAAGCCCAATAAACAATTTACAATTGAATGAATGTGGTGAGTGTGAAAGTTCTTGCTGTTTTGCATGACACTTTATAAGCAATCAATCTGTTATTTGAAGTAACAAAGTATTCATAGTATTCCTTTTAAGCACATGATAATTGGGTTTGGTTCTGTCAACTTTCTGAGAATTTATTCAAGCTGTCCATGGCTGGCCTGGTGATACTAGGATTTCTACCTAGCCAGCTAGTATTTTATGTATGGCCTCTGGGTACCATCTAAAATTGGTTTTGCTGCCAGAACTCTGTAAGTTCTGCACATGACTGGGTAATGAGACGTGGTTGGTGCAGTTGGAAACTGCAATGCTAGGTCCATTGATCATGAAGCAATAGTTCTTCATTTAAGATCTGATAATGATACATTTGCCTTTTAACTACTGACAAATGTTTATGTTTCTGGTATGCTATACCATTTTTGGATTCTTGAAGATAGTAATTTACATAATTGTGATGTCATATCCCTTTTTTGTTCTCGTATGTTGCTTCATTTCCCTTCTTTTAAAATCAGTGCAAGTGCAGACTAACAAAACATAGGTGTCTATTCCACAGACTTTCAATTTCTGACAACTAACTGCCTACAATGTTTTGCAGTGCTAGCTGGTGATCCTCAAACATCCAACGATGATAAGAAAGCTGAAGCTCAGCCGAAGGGCCATACTGGCAAAACAGTTTTGTTCGTCCTCCTAGGAGTGGGGTCTGTCATTCTGTTGTCATTTTTCATTTTCAAGTATTGGCAGAAGAAGAAAAGGGAGGAACAACATGCACGTCTGCTAAAGCTATTTGAAGAGGATGATGACATTGAGGTTGAGCTTGGTCTTAGAGATTGATAATCTTCAATGTACAGCAAGAGTATCTTGGCTGACAAGGTGATTTCTGTGGTACCATATTTACAGTATGAAAGCATTTTTCCCCTATGCATATTTTTTTTAAATGTCAACAGGTTTTGCTGGCTTGCCTTCAAAGCATTTTCATGTTAATGTAAAGAATTTGTTGTATTTAAACTTGACAGGCCTCCACAAGAAAGGTCTATTGTACTTTAGATATATGATGAACATCTCTGCGTGCAGGATGCTTGAGAATAGCTTTAAGGAGGAAGTATCAAGGTAAATATATATATATATTCAGAAAACTTTAAAAATCAAAGAATGTTCTCCAAATCTCTGTGTGTGTGTGTGTGTGTGTGTGTGTGCATCAAGTAAAGAAATTCATAGACTGATAATTAAATCCTCTGGGGCTCTGGTGATGACCCCCACTGTATTCCTTTTCGGGTTCAAGAGACTCTAACTGGAATTAGTTTGCCCGTCTTGTTCTTGTAAGTAGATGTCCTATTTTCTGGTGTTCCATATTCTAATTCCTGAATCCTGATGCAACCAATTATACCTAAAACTTCTTGATTCACAAGTATTGGATGTTGATAAGAACCTACACCATCATCTTCAGATAATGTTTGGCGTTGTTAGTCTAGTTCAGTTTACATTTAATTAGTTAGGCCCATTGGCCGGTTAGCGTTGGACCATTCTTTGTTTAGGCCGAAGTCCTCGTAGATCTTATTTTCTTGCCGGGCCATCGCTCTAGAAACCTATATAGTGTTCCTATCAAGTTATTCGTGCTGGAGAATATTAATTCAGATCCCTAAGTGGATCTGTGTCAGTATATGTGATCAGAAATCTATCTTTCTGAGCACACATTAGTTTCCATCGGATTCTTTGGATCAATCATGCTCTAATTGTGTAAGAGTTGAAGAACTCTGCTACTTGATTTGCATCTATCTGACGTAGTTGTATGTCGAGAACCCCATATTTTCTGGGCGTGGCTAGCGTCGACACCTGTGCAGCTTGCCCTTGTCTGTCTTTGCCTTGTCCCACGCGCGCACTTCACCCTGTCTTTGCGCCCACCGGTTGCTCTGACCCTCTCCTCTCTCTTCGCGTGGGCGGCACTCGGGAGCTAGGCTGAGCAGCTAAGGACGAGCACGCCCTAAGCGCGCCTCGATCGCAACACCACCGTCACCGGCCCCCCCCCCATGCGCCGTGCGCCCAGTCCGCTCGCCCCCAGCTGTACAGCATAAAACACTTGCAATATGAAAAATATTTTAATGCAACATACGTCTAAAAGTAGATGAAACATTTGGAAAACACACCTGCGACATGTCTGTGAAACACACGAAACATCCATATTTGAAACTTGAAACATGGAACCACATGCTGCAACATAAGGCTGAAACAACTGAAACATTTGGAACATACTATTGCAAAATATGTGACATATGCAACCTCCAGATAAAAAAGATTGCAATAGACGTCTGGAAACAGATGAAACATTTTGAACAAACACTTGCAACATGTCTCTTAAACACTTGAAACATATGCAACATGTGCAACATCCTCCGATCTACTTTTGCAATATCAAGATGAAATAATTGTTGCATACATCTGAAACGTCTGAAATACTTGAAACAATATACATATGCAATATAGAGGAGGGAAGGCTGGGCCAGTTGATTTCGGCCGTCGGGGTGGGAGCCGGCGACAAGCCGCGACGCACGAGCACCACTAGCACCGCCACGCCTCGTGGCGATGGTGCCTTAGCTCGGCGGCGAGAAGAAGACCTGGAAAGGCGCCACATGCACGCGGTGCTACCAAATGGGAGCGAGGGCCATGGTAGCAACAGGTCAATGGTGCGCCTAACGAGCACGCGTTAGAGAAGGAGCAGACGGATGAGCGCCACCTTTGTGAGGCGGGTGAATAAGGGCGAATAAGTGGGGTGTGAGCTCAGAGAGAGCAGACGGATAAGCGAATTTGTTTTTTGTTTAGAGCATGGGAGCCGGGACAAGTCACGGACTACGCAGGAAGTATTTCCGTTCTGGATTGGTTGGCTATTTAGTTTTCCCTGAATTCACTATATAATAAAATCATTGGCAAAACACGGATGGCATAGACAATAAATCGAATAGATATTCGAACGTGATTCCGAATTTGAGCTATTCCTTTTGCATTCGTATTCAAGAATATTCAAACGATCTAATAAAATAATATGGTAAATAGTGACATTTGTATCCGATCAGCGGGATGATGGCAGCCTCACTATGGCGGTACCTTCTAAAATCTAGGGCTTAAAAGTCTGTCATGCCCTAACAACCGCACTGTGGAAGGGATGAGGCAGCGATGAGCAGCTCCTTCCTCTCGGGGCGCGACTTGCGCCGCCGCGGTCCCTCACTTCTATAGCATTTTGCTGAAGGATAGAGAGAGCGAGAGCGAGGATCTTTTCATGCATTGAGGGCGATGGCGGGGAGGTAGGATTGAATCATTTTCTCCACGACGACTCTTGAAGATGGGGTGACGCACGGCACCAACTTCAACGTATGCCGACATGGAGCGTTAGAGAAGGCGGCAAGACGAGATGATGTCACCACCATAAAATAATTTTTCCGTATCTTCTCCTTTTTGTTGCGTGAATAAGCGCGAATGAGTGGGGTGTGAGCTTAGGAGAGACGACGGATAAGCACAAGGAACATGATGATTTGTTTTTTGTTTAGGGCCCGCTCATGGGGAGCCGTGTCCAGACACAAGTCACGGACTACGTCCTGCAGGAAGTATTTCCGTTCCTGGATTGGTTGGCTATTTAGTTTTCCCTGAATTCACTATATAATAAAATCATTGGCAAAACACGGATGTATGCTCATAGACAACTAAATCGAATAGATATCTGAACGTGAATCCGAATTTGAGCTATTCCTTTTGCATTCGTATTCAAGAATATTCAAATGTGTATTCGGATCTAATAAAATAATATGGTAAATAGTGACATTTGTATCCGATTTCATGCGGATTTGTTTCCACTGCTGCCCATGATGGCAGCCTCACTATGGCGGTACCTTCTAAAATCTAGGGCTTAAAAGTCTTTCATGCCCTAACAACTCAAATGGAAAGTCAAAAAACAATAATCTTGATGAGTTGAACAAACTTGGTATTCAAAACTTTTCAATTTGAAGTCATTTTCCTCCCTCTAGAGTCAAAGGTTGTTTTTTTCATTTGACCAAATTTGACTTGGTCAAACTTGCTCTTGACATTAAATGCGATAAAAAACTCTGAATACCAAGTTTGATCATCTCAGCAAGATCTACAATTGTTACATAGCTCATTTTCCCATTTGAGAAAGTTTTATCAAACACTAGTCATAAATTCTTGAATCTCATATAGACGATTCCCTCACTCACATAGCATTTTGAAATTTGAGCTATATTTTGTTCAAACTTTCTCAAATGAAAAATGGCCTATATAAGGATTGTATATCTTGATGAGATGAACAAATTTGGTATTCAAAACTTTTCAATTTGAGACAATCTAGGGAGTTTGGGAATTCAGTTGACCAAAACGTATATCTTTAATAAGCTTTAATTGAGTCCTTAGTTAGGATCTTTTCATGCCAAAATTTTTAATATTGGAGATTTATCTCATCCTCCTCCTCACCATTTGAGAAAGTTTTATCAAACACTAGTCATAAATTCTTGAATCTCATATAGGAAACTATGGGGAGGAAAGGATTTGTTCAAACTTTCTCAACTGAAAAATGACCTATATAAGGATTGTACTCTTGAAGATGAGGGTATTCAAAACTTTTCAATTTGAGACAATCTAGGGTTAGAAAACTAGTAGTTGTAAACGTCGAAATTTAAAAGTCACTAATTTGAACCATCAAACTATCTCAAATGGTATGACCAAACCAAAATAGATCTTGATGAGTTTAACAAACTTTATTATTTCAATTTGAAGTCATTTAGAGCGTCAAGTGTTGTTTTTCATTTGGAGATGATGTGAGACACCACCATGAAAAAAAAATAATTTTCTCCAAGATATACAATCTTCTCTCATTTTCCCATTTGTGGTTAGTCACAAATCTTGAACTCCACGATGAAGGACTACTTGTGGGAGAACAAGTTTTAGATCTCAAATGAAAAAATAGCCTATATAAGGATTGTCTTCCTGATGAGCTGAACAAACTTGGTATTCAAAACTTTTGGTGAGATAATCTAGAAAGAGTTTGAAGACACTAGGAAGAAGAAGTTTCTCAACAACTATCTCAAATGGAAAGGAATGAATTGTAGATCTTGATGAGTTGAACAAACGTTCAAAACTTTTCAATTTGAAGTCATTTAGAGTTCATAATACTAGAGTCAAAGTGTTGTTTTTTCATTTGACCAATTTGACTTGGTCAAACTTGCTCAAATGAGCGGTCATCCATATGAATACAAGTTTGATCATCTCAGCAAGTTTACATAGCTTTTCCCATTTGAGAAAGGAACTTATCATGGACTTTCTAAAACTATATCACACACTTAGTGAAATTTGAACTACATTTTTTCTTTCTAACAATGAAAAATGGCCTATATCAATCTTGAATTGATCATGACTCCATGAAACCATCAAGCAATGTGTTGAACAATTTAGATGAAATTGGTGCTTATATGATGTTTGATATATGCAATATCTTTATTTATTTGTTGCTTTACTCTTTAGTGCTTAATCTAGATGGATTATGGACTCATGTTGATGTTTTATACTATAGCTATTATATAATCTAATTCTTACTTCTCCGAATCCGATTCATACCGTATTCGAAAAAACAACCACACCGGTCGTCTCCACCACCCTCCAACAACAATGAGTGATATCCAAGAAAATGCCTGTCACCACCACCTTCAACGGATTCGATACGAACGGATATCATTTAGACATAGTCCTTGATGACATTCTTTGCTTCCTAGATACACTCCATTGTGCGAAGAAGTCAGCCAGACAGCCACCACCATCCCAACTACTGCTCGACCACC